ATGTATTTTTATATGGGAAATATGAAATTTTTCGTGGCAACGGTAGAGAATTCTTGAAAATCAATATTTTTCGATCGGAAAACTCTGGTTCTCTTCAGGAGACTTTCAATACAAATAAACAGAGTTTTCTGGTAGAAAAATATTGATTAGTTAACTATTCCATACCATTTCCACGAAAAGTTGTTTTTCCCCCATATAAAATACATGGAAAACTTTGGGCGCTTTGAGCGACCTCCAAATATTTTTTGATTTCAAAGTAAAAAAATAAGGGTATATATTTTTGGTATAGAACAATCCTAGGGGATGAGAGCATAAAAATCCGACTTTACTTTTTCCACATGCATTTTTGGACCACCCTAATGTATACACTTACATGGTAACCATATTTGTATGTATGTATGCATGCACTTGAAGTTATTGCGTGGGCAAAACGACGGACACTTGAGCGACAGTTAAGCGGATACAGGAAAGTTCATTTTATGTTTGGCTTTACAATTGTTTGTTTGTTTGTGGCAACACTTAACTTAAAAGAAAGCACTAAACGATGCATTTTAAAGCCCATTGACATTTTCTCGTTTCCTGAATGCTTGAACCATAAAATGTGAACATGTACTATGTATAGCGAGCAATCATTGTGGCAATCCGTTAAGCTAATTTTTTGGCAGACATGCGTCTTGAGCTCGAAAATTTAAATACTCGAATTATGAACATCGGTTGTGAGTGGTTCATTCTTTTAGAGAGATATTCATGGATATAAAAAAAGTTATATAGAAGCTAAGCATTATGCTAGGACATATGTATATATGTGTGCCTCATTCGATGTCGGAGATATCGCATTTTTGTGTAGTTCATAAACTAATTATTTACCTTTTGGAAAGCAGACACTTTTTCTTGCGCTTTACCATTGTGTTCGTGCCAAATTTACACACAATTGGGCCGTGTTACAATGACGTTCCCATGTCACCGGAGATATTTTCAACAAGTCTTACCTCGTTACCTGTCTATTTCTAGTGCTTCGATATTAAATTTGATTTCATATTGGACGTAGTATGGCGTGTCACCGCGACAAACTTATGCCTAAAGTGGAGAAACTAGTATTTGCGATACTACGACCAATAGTTTCCGTGAATCTCGTCGGGCGTTTGAAGTGATCAAAGGTATCGCAGTCCGCACAGCCAATTTGCAGGGAAGATAGGAAACTGTCTCTTCTTTCTCATAGCTTTTCCAGTTTTTGCAGGATCTATGAATCAGTACTACCAGGCATTCGCCATGTTGATCTAAAGAAAATCGCCAGCTAAAGCTATAATGATGTCAGATATATCCTACACTACAGTTGTCCGGTATTTGAAATGAATAGCGAAGAAATCGCTCCTGGAGACTTTTTTATTTACGCAGAAAAAGTGGTACTCACTGTACGCTCAGGCCTTTGATTAGTTTATATTTGTGAGCTAATATGCAAAAAGGTACTTAATCTTTTTCCGGACTCTGCTTTAGACCCGACTTAGTCCATTTTATTTAGCAGTTTATTATATCGCCCTGTGGTCGAACTTTGGCCCCTTCCTGCGTTCATTACATGCGTCACATATTGGAAATACAGATATATACATCACGGCTGCTTCTAAACACCTTACGAAAAAAAACAATCATTCGGTTCAAAAATATAGCAGAATATGGTTCCCAATTGAATGATGCTTGCCAATTTATAAATTGATTTCTAGATTCCAACTTCACATGATAAATGCTGCTTCCCAACAAAATGAAGTGTCTCGGTCTGATTCAAAAGTACTGTTATCGTGGAAACCAAATAATGATGAAAGAATTAGACATGGGCGCGGGATATCGGGAACCACAATACTGATTTCACAATGGCCGGGATGTATGGTATCGGGAAGGCCTTTAAAAATTTTGCGGGCGGGACGAGAGCAAAATTCATTCCCGACGCTCCCGATAAAACCCGCAATCTCCGAAAATTCGGAAAATCTTCCTTAAAAACGTCTTATGAAATAATAACTTTTTTATGTTTTATTGACACGAAAACGAAAGGCAAGGCCATGGGCAAGGCAAAAAAAAAATAACCGGAATTTGCCAGATTTTTTATTATTTAAGATTAACTTAATTTCGGAATAGGCGGGATCGGAATTGAAATTTTTGTCCCGTGCCCATCTCTAGAAAGAGTTCAACTGCAACAACGGATTTATATAGTTTTCGCCGCAATATTTTAGCCGGATGGAATGCTTCAAAGAGATCTATGGTGGTTATGCAGCTAGAAAGTATGCAAAGATTTTTATCGATTTTTAGTTTTTGGTGGGTAACGTACCAGTATTTAAATTAGTTTCATGTCCACTAATAACACAGTGCAAAATCTTTCTATATTCTGAAAAAATAGCATCAAATGTTAACTGCTCTTGCAAAAGGCGCTATCATACTTATTTATAAACTTTCAAAAGTCTTCATCTTCTGATGAACTGAGAAATCTGCTTTAGGTCGTATAGACTGTTAATGTTATTAGGCTGTTATTTATCCAAATTTTCCGGTAATAAAAAAAGGTTCAATTTAAAAGTTACTTGTTGTCATAGTCGTCTTTTTTAATTTATGGCTCACTATTATAAAATCACATATTAACTTTCTTTTTTTTTAAATAAGGTGACTTTTGGAGCAGTTCGGTTCGTTTAAAGGAGCTCTGTTGAATTGCATAAAATTTGCAATTTCGGAAATATGTTGACTTATTCCCTTTGGTAATCAACCGATTCAGCTAAGGCGAAGTGTATGGGTAGATAGATATTAAATTGAGGTATGCACTGGGGCCCTGTTGTGCCCTCTCCTCATCAGAATACTTCATCTAAGCCTACATCCCTCAAGAACAGCAGCAGCACCTTCGGGGGTAGGGAGTGAATTTGCTCAAGCTGTGGCCACATCGAGTCTAGTCTTCTCTCACAAGGTGTAGGGGTACGAGTTAAAGTTTTGATCATTAACTTATGATCTCTTAGTAACATAGAGTTCATCCATGTTGGGATTAACTACTACATACCCATTTTGATGATTTTTATCCCTCCACTTCCACTCACAATATCAATGAAACATGGCAGACCAGAGCAAAAAAAGTTAATAACACAATTTCTCAAAGTCAGATAGAAAGATTGGTGTTGGGGACTTTTCCACAAAGAATACACTATTAGATTCAAGACCTCCGGATCACTGTAATGTATTCCACTTTAGAGGTAGCTACCAGCAAAGAAGTAATCTTTAGAAGCTTAATAGAGTAACAGCTTTTGGCGATTTCATTCTAAATACTCTGAATATAAAGTGAGAACTTGGGAGTTAAACTCACTGATCAAGCGTAGCAAATAAGTCAGGGAATGCTTGGCTTTGTTTTCTTCTGAAACAAAATACTTCACCTATAAGCTTTTTTGGGTACCAAGTCCGCAAGGCGTCCTCGCGTTTATCAAATTTTTTATAACGTATTAAATGTGATCTAAATGAACTCAATAAAATCGCGGAATTTTTAATTAAATTTTATATAAGAGCTTAGATAAAAATATATACATACATAAAATCTTAATTTGCCTTATTCTTGATAAAGAAACTGGAAGAAAAATTTACGTTAAACCAAGGTATACGACTCGCAGCTTCAAAGAAGGAAATTCTGGGACATAAGCATTTGAGAGATGTAGGGAGCAAGGGGATTTATAAAGAAAAAACTTAGTGCAAAAGTGTTATTTAAAAGTTGTATGTATATTAATACGGATATTTACAAGTCATCTTAAGCGTCGTAACGTCTTAAGTTAAAAAAAATTATTTAAATTTAAATACCGGTTAAAATATTTTTAGGCGATTTTTGATCACATCAAAGTGTTTTTAAACTGTCAGAAAATAAACCATTTTAGCCGTTATTTTACGTAAACAAGTTTCACGACCTCAAAGTTAATAAAATTTTTTTAATACAAGTTTTACGACTTTATTAAAACATTACGACGACTTGTGAATCCCCTAGATATGGGTTTTCAAATATAGGGCGCATACATATTCAACTTTAAGCCAATTTTATGTTCATTCAGTTGTGCTTTAAATTAGTTACTTATATACTCTCTTTGCACTAAGTCCTGTACATACATACAGTCATGCGAAAAACAATAGTGACACGACATTTTGATCACTTTCGACTTTTTTTTTGTTTGTTTTTTTAATGTTAAGATATTATATTTTTATATTAAAAAGGCAGCTGTTTGTCTAACAAAAACAAAAAAAGTGTAAATTTCAAACTTTGTAGAAAAATTCAACAAAATTTTACAATAACAAGAAACTTTTTATTAAGAATTTTTAGAAAAATTCTAGGTGTGCAGTTTTAGAGCCCAATAATGAAGTGCAAGAATTTGCGTTGAATTTGATAATTTTTTTTTTGCTGACGGTGTCACGCATTTCCTTCCATACAAAATATCGAACCCTAGCCGCAAAAAAGGTATAAGCGACATTTTTTAAAAATTTCATTTTTGATGCAGAAATATTTGCACAGCTTCTAGCAGCTTTTGTGCATCAAAAATAAAATTTTGAAAAAAGTACGCTGACATATTTTATGCGATTAGGGCTCGATATGTTCGGGACTTTTTTTTTGTATGTGAGGATGAAAACAATAACAACATAAAAAAAATTATCAAAAATCAACGCGAATTCTCAGCCACTTGAAACTTACATTTTGTGAAGCAAGAATTTAATTAACTATAAAACTGCATACTAATAGCTTTTCTAAATTTCTTAATAAAAGATTTGTTACTGTTATAAAGATTCGTTGAATTTTTCCAACTTTCCTACAAAGTTTGAAATTTGGACTTATTGATTTTTGTTAGATAATTAGCTGCATTTTTATTTAAAAGCATTTTAAACGTTAAACAGGCAAAATAAAAAAAGTCAAAACTGGTCAAAATGTTGTAACGCTATTATTTTTCACATGACTGTATCTACATATATGTATCTATGCATGTATGCAATTCTCTATGTTCTCTTACTTGCAGTAACGCGATCACCAGCTGTATGGGTCCACAACGCACCACCACTGAACCGATTGTGGTGGCACGCAATCCAATGCCGGCACTCGCGCTGCCACCACCACCTCCACCGCCTTCACCACTGCACAAGCTCATATCCGATGCATGTCCAATTGTTGCATTTGTTGTGTTGCTGCCGCCAATAGTCGCTATGGCATTGGTGCTGGAAGCGCCGGTCAATAAGCCAAGACCAGGACCACCAACACTACCACTGCCGATGCCGCCGCCGCCACCGCCGCCGGCGCTGGGCGTTGGTGAAACCGATGACGATAGGGTGGGGTAATTGTAATTGTCATGTT